ACGTTTGCCAACCGAAACTTCCTGTCCAGAGAACAACTCACTCTCAATGTCCACTTCCCTTGCCACACATATTTTCCACCACTTCTAGAAAGGATGAATGTTACTGTTGCAGGCATATGGACAACTAAGCGGAATAGAGTGGTTAACTTATTATTCGACTGAACTGACCAACATAATCCTGGATTCTATCAGGATTGGATACATTGGTTTGCAGGCTACCAACATGGTGCTCACTCGGATGGAGACAGATAGGTGGGTGTGGAGCCTTGAACAGACATGCATCATTTCAAGCTGACACAATTTGCAACATCATTAAGGTAGGTGATGAATATAAATGGAATGTTGTTAAAATAGATGTCAAAAGGATTTCAGAAGGTTGATACAGTATCAATTATTTTGAAAACGATAACTGTTGAGCATCGTCGTACATATGAATTCAAATTTGCACCATTTCATCAGGTTTCTTCAGCCACTGACTCTTAACACCCCGGAAAATTGCAACTTAATACTACAAACTTCCGAATACAGATTAGATGAACAATCAGAGACTTCATACACTAGTGATGTACCTTTTTTCACCAAGGCCCCCTCTAGTAGTTTTATTCAAATCTAATCCTAACGCTAGTAACGTTAAGTTAGCAATAATACGAAGCTGCTAGTGATAACACTGAATTTCACTTCAGTTTATTCTTTGCTTTCAGCTGAATATTTCTCTCCATAGAATCGAATAAAAGAGCACAGACAGTACACTGAACAGGATAAAATTCATTCTACCAAGTATTTTATCCATATCTCATATGAATGAACGAAAGGGAGATAACCAACTGTTTCCACTTTGTTACATCAGTTACTCACCGAGAGCTTCTTGTTCCATACCAGATTGATTGGTTCGTTTTCACTTAAATTGCTCAATGTAATCTTGGCTGTTAGATTTAGCTCTTAGAGAATGAGATTCATAGTTTAGTCGAAACCTGCCTTGACTTAGTCCTATGTGACATCAGTTGTAACTGAACCTTTGTAAGTAATAAAACTAGGAATAGGATCTAACAGACATCGGTATTATTCTCAAACAAATGAACCGGAATCCCAAAGTCAATGTTTTTGATCAAAATCATTTTATGCCACCTTTCTTAGAATGTGATCGGTGAAAAGATATTCAAACTAAGAGTCTTATTAATTGAATAGTGCACTGCAAGAACAGCATTGAGTAGTGGTAGTGGTCTGCACGTCTACATATACCACGGTTCTTGATGACACTTTTCTGAGATACTTTTTATGAAGTCTTACGGAACACACTGCTGAATTACGACGGTCATCTTCAACATGGCAGGATTCTCTGGCATGGTGTTTCACATTACTGATCAGACTTTATTATATTGACTTGATATTTTGGCAGATTCAAATGGTTTGAAGTTTTTTAAACTAAGTAGAAGCTTTTGGTGAACTAGATTCCGTTTCTAGAAGCAGTGGACTGTGACTAAGAACTTATCTGTACAAAATAGGGATAAAAACAGCAGTTCAGTGATAACTTAATCAGCGATCTCATGGGCATCGGGATTGAAGAAAATTGATGATGTAGCCTGAACAATGCCTACAGGGAGAACCTTGAAAGATTTATCAACTCCAAAGAGTAAACGTTACGTCTAATATTCGTCCTGCTATATTGAAGTTCGAACTTCGTCCCTCTAAGACTAGTGTTCGAACTTAACTTGAGCAAATGATGACGCGGGTGTCCTGGAGTATGTAGAATGCTGCATGTCGTTATTAGGTCACCTCAAAAGTCATCAGTATTTCAGGGGATATAGATCAAGTGCTGTCATTTGAACTCCGTATGATTTAAACCTCAGACCTCTAGCTGGTTGAATGTAATGGCTCTGGATGAGTTCTATGGAGTTCTTGGACATTTTAGAAGAATCTGGAAAGAATATGATACCAAATTCTAAACAAGACCATATGAGAATGTTGAAGGTTTACTGGAAACACCTGTGACAGAGCTATCTAGAGAATAACCACAAGGTTACACGTGCCAGATTTGCACGGAACTTAAGCAAGATTGGTGGTCATCGGAGACTAAAGTCCCAATATCCTTTCCCATGAATCAATTTTCCTCTGATAACTGCTGCACACTACACACCAGGTATCGATCACAAAGCAGTTAATTTGACGAATGATATCTTAGTGTTTACAGCACCATCATACCTAAAGGTTTATATAGTTGATCAATCTCAGATTAGGCGAAACACCTGATAGATTCTACTGCCCAGCTCTGCTGTAGAATATAAACTCACAGCAGTACTAAAGCCTGAGTATTAGAAGTCTATACAATGACAGTAGTGGATTATTATAATATTATTATTTGTCCCTTGGGTTCCTAATGGAACATAAGGCTTCAGTAGCACGTCTCCAATGCGCCCTGTTCTCTGAAATCTTTTGCACCTGGCTCCACGACAGCCTGTAAGCTCTCATTTCTTCCTCGCACGATCTCCTACATGTCACCCTCACCTCGGACGCCCAACTCATCGCTTCCCATCTGTGTTCCACTCGAGGGCCTAGCCTGAAGCGTGATGTCCTCATTCGGCCTTCTCTGTGTATGCCCAATCCAGTCCATCTCCACTTCCTTCTGTATATTTGTTGAGCGATAGGTTGTTGGTTGGTTCGTTGCTCAGCCAGAGCTCCTTCTTGCTTATTCTTATTATTCTGGCCATCTGATCTTCAGTAACGAGCCAGCGTAGTCAGTTGTTGATGAATGTCTGTAGTTTGTTGGAAATCCTTTTCGTAACACACCAAGTCTCTGAACCATACAGGAGTACTGACTTGACGTTGGTGTTGAAAATCCGGATCTTGTTCACGCTTTGTGCTGGCTGAGTGCAGAGGATCTCCCTCCACACTGGTTTCAGGCTAATGAACACCTATCTTGCTGTGTTTCCGATCCTGGCTGGCTTTGACATCCTCGTCTGTGCCTGTGCCGCCTGTAGTTGAAACAGTGCTGCCTAGATAGGTGAAACAGGCTACTTCCTTTACGTTTCTCCCGTCGGTGGTGATTGGAGATTTTTGTTGTTGGCAGTGGCGTTGGTTGGGTATCATCACCACCTCTGTCTTCTCTACGTCCACTTGAAGTCCCGTCTTCCTTCGCTGCCCTGCCTCTCCTGCCAACTTGTTAGTTTTTGCCTGTACATCCTCGAGTTTGTGCTACATTGGACACAAGTCATCACTGGCGAGATCCAAATCTTCTAGGATCTTTCCCCGGTCCAGCGTATTTCCTCCTTCTCGCTCCTCACTGTTTGCTGCATGATCCAGTCCACTAGACCACAATCAGGAATATCATGGGTGATAGTAGACAGCCTTGTCTTACTCCTCCCTTCACTTCAAAGATATCACTGAGCTTCCCATTGTGAATTACTTGGCATGTGGCATGCGTCTTCATATAGTTGTTGAATGAGGTTGATAAAGGTTTGTGGTATTCGGTAGTGTTGAAGGAGTTTCCAGATTACTTCTCGTTCGACACTGTCGACGGCCTTTTCGAAGTCGATGAAGTTGAGTTAGAGAGTTGACTACCATTCTATACTCTGTCGTATGTTGATGCGAAGCGTTATAATTTGGTCCGCACATGATTACTGGAATCAAATAAAAGAACAGTGAGAGTTTAGAAGACCTTAGTTACAACCTTCCAGATATTCAGTTGGGAGTTACTAATCACAGTCCTGACAGATACTGCACACATTACTAGAAACAAAAACAGCTGCTTAAAAGACTCAAAATTCATGGTGAGGATAAGATAACTGGATGCAAACTAGTTTTCAAAAATCGGCATGGCTCTTACTTCAGAAATAAAGATTTCCAATCGGTAATGGTCTCTAGAATGCGCACTAAAAACCCCTCACAGCGTTTCGTGGTATTCGTTTACACTTCAGGTAGAATCGACCGACAGAATACTTCAATTCTTTTTAGCTACTCGGTTATAGCTAAGAGAAACGTCCTTCCGGTATTTCTGTGAAGACTCATCTATCTCGCAAACACCGGTACCTGGTATGAATAGACCCCAACTACACATACTAGTAGGTAGTATGTGTTATACCCTAATTGTAATACGCATAACTAGTAGTTGATCATACAGTTGTAGTAAATTAACTCGCATTGACTACTTCTACTTAAATCTAAAAAAAACTAGTATAAACATGTTCATTGTGAGTCACACACTAAATTAGTGTTACGCATACCATATAATCAGCAACTTAAAGTGTGTTTATATTTTCGTGTGTTACGTTACGCAAAGACTGTGTTCAGTTTTCTTTCCAACCTCGACGTGCTTATTGTTTTCAGCTTGTTCCTATAATCAGGTGTAAATGGTATCCAATACGCTCTTTCTCTCTCTCTCTCACCTTGTTGTCACTCCACCTTTTCATTTGTCGATACTATGGGTAGTATGACCTTCTAAGGTCATACAGTTTTGGTGTGGTATAGATCATGAAAATAAGTATATTATGGGTACAATAGCACGACAATGCGTTATCACCACTTTTTTGTGTGATAGTTACTCTTTCATGTTTATTCTCGCTTCTACCACCACCACTACGCACATACCACGGTTACATACACAATCATAAGAACAGAGACCACCATCTCGCTTAGTATATTCTAAATTTGAATAATGATGGTTGGATAGACAGGCATCACAGGCGTAAAGGCTGAATAGCACCATTAGGAGTCATACTCACGTGATTGTCTTTCTGAGTTAATACACGCCTGAACATCGTGATTATTGAGTGTTGTGAGATATCAGCGATACATTAAATGCCTATATAAGTGTGAGCTGAATTCATCCTGAAAATACCGAAGAGAATTAATTTTGACTGCTTTACACTCTATTGTCATTGTGTGTTGGTGTGTGCGAGAGAGTGGTTTATGTATGAGTGAGTACCAATCAAAAGAGATTTGATTGGAAACACGGAAAACCCATTATCAATAACTGTATATACTATAATACATTGATAACAAATAGCATGTATGATCAAACTGAAGTGGAGTATCTTGTCAATTTAATAATTAGTACACAAAAATCAGCGAAATCCTTTACACCTTTTGATGATTATCATAACTTATCTTACGACTCACATCTCGCCACATCACCATCGTCGCGGCTACCGTCATCCTTGTCGTCATCACCAAGTAAGTCACTTTATAGGTCTCATTATATTTATTATTATTATTGGTGCTACTGGTTTCTTTACTACCTTGGGTTCTTAGATTTGAGAACACCGACAGTCCAGTTTGACCAATTGGATGATATAACCAACGAGGAAGTAGTCACAGAAAGGCTTGGTAGTCCTGGAAATGGTTCCAGGTATCGATATAATGGTGAGCTGTAAATCTCCCAGAAAACCATTAATATAGGAAAAAATCTTGGGTACTGTAGCAGATCTTAATTCTATTTCAGTTTATAATTTATTTAGTGCTGTCTAGCAGCAGAACCCAGTACGGGCGCCTCTCCATATTTGGGACTCGTCAGTTGCATGTACTTGAGCCTCAGTGAGTGATGTTGTTCCTACTAAGATCTGAAACTCGCACCCATCGCTTCAGACTCCGAAGCGTTATCCACTAGGTTACTGAGACACGACAGCTAACCCTTGAGTAACAGGTATTAATTATCATTATCTGATGATACTTGTAATTTCCCGTTATCGAACTGATCGACGTCTGTTGGCATATAACCTGTTATGCTGATCCCTTTATATTACCTGAATATTCGTTGTTATAGTTTACTCAGTGGTGGTTTTGGTGTTTGAAGCTGTGGATGAGGGGCTAGAGCCTCAGTGGAAACACAATCACTAACTAGGGTGCAGGTACATCCAGCTAAGGAGTCACAAACAGGACGAGACGTCCATCCTGGATTCCAGTGCTAAGCACCACCAAGTAAGAGTGAATATTCAGACTATATCACGACATCTGCAAAGGAGCCCATATGCCAACAGAGGCCAATCAATTTCATCCAGTACAACAACAAGAAATTACAAGTATCAACAGATAATAACTATTTCAGTTTGTTTATTAGATGTATCACACAGTGAAACAGCATCATTCACTGGATGGCATTTGTTCATATTTATATTCATTCTCAGAAAACCTCATTATTGCCATTTTGTTTTCCAAAATTTTGACAGCTGATGATGAACAGTTTGTTCAAGTATGATAATTATCCAGTACATTGTCTTAGATAATATTCAGTAGTTTTTTTTCAGCAAGGAAAATGAGTAAATTTATGTTGTAAATATGCAGTGACCAAGATAACTGTTCTACATCATGAATTAACGTGTTCCCTAATAGTTAAGATAAGAGTTGAATAGAAATAATAACTTAAAAGGAATCGCCTATCAAGAGACAATGCTAATCCACGAAGTTATTGACTGTTAGTTTGCGTTAACTAGTATTGAGAGGCGCAGCTTCCCTGGTTTGTATCGACACGGTATTAGAAGTCTGTGAGTATAGTTGTTAGATAATATGTCACAACATACGATGCTAATGTAAACGCCCTTAATCATTTAATAGTACTTCTTTGCCTTCTCAAGTTCGTTTCCTACTTCATTTGGAGATGTTTCTCTCGTAGTATTTTCTGTGTGTTGTTTCGAAGTGTCAGTTTCGATTGATTCTGGTTCTCTTTTGTTGAGTCTACCTCCCTTTTGGGCAAAGTGGTTCTTCTAAGGGACAATATCTGAACAGGTACTTCTTGAGTTACTGATGCTATGCCTAATATAGTTGTTGGACTATGAGGCGTATTATCAAACGGGTTTAAATTTCGTAACGTTGATTGAGTGTCTAGTCCACCTGTTATGTTGTGAATTCAAAAGAAGTAATTTCTCAGTTGCTATCTCTGTTATCTATCAACCATGGTTTCTAAAACAATTGAAGCCATTGAACACTTCGGTTAACCAATCATAGGTTGGATTAGAAGGTTTTTTTTAAAAACACACTTGTAGAAAACAACAAACGGTAATGCGAAGTGGATGGTTAATTTTCTTAGATGATATACTGCAACAGAAGTACATCAACGTTATTTGGAAAGTATTCATTAACAAAATGAGGCAGCCAAAATCCGGTTGTAGATGAGAGATGAAACTCAAAGATGTTTCTGTTCATTTATGAGGAAGTGATGGTTAGGAATAGATTTTTATTATCATATAAACTCTCGCTAGCCGACAAATATAGGTTAATTATTCTTGTTAGATCTTTAGTCAAGAGAAAGAATTTTAAGATGTGGTATCTTTGGATTACAGAAGTTTAATGTTTAAATAATATGCATATCCTGAGAAAAGTAGTTAAATGTCACCAGAAGCGGTTACTTCAACTCAATTTGTCTTGTGCAGATTAACTTCTCAGAGAATTTTAGTGATCGAATCAATTCTTTGCTGTTTCGTTTGAAATACAAAATCTTGATACAATTAAGCATCATTAAATTTTTCGTATAATAAAGACAAAAATTCTATTACTGATGTTTAAAACGTTTGGATTCCCTCCAAAAAATGGGTCTGGGTCTCACTGAACCCTTAATCACTGGACAGTAGGTTATAAACCCACTTCACCTACTGAGGTTTAGCAGGCAAGTAGTGGTGCACTTCTGAATCAATAAACAGCATTTCTTAACTCCTAGTACGAATATCCCGCTGACAATGCTTCTGATTGTAGAGCTAAGTTTGAATTCTTGGTGAAGCCTAACTTTTATAAAGATTCCAGATATAATTTGTTGATAAAAGACAAATTAAACGATGTAAAACCTTGAATAGAAACCAGTCGACTCAAGTTCCCAAACTTAGCATCAACTGGAAAACAGATAATTAACAAAAGTAGAAAGTTTTTAGAACAAATAATGAGAAAACTATGAAGGAAAATAGATGAACTAACAATGTCGACTGTGATAAGGACTGAACGCATGTGGACCACTTTGTTAGGTCCTGAGCTACACTGGTGCCGGATCTCCAATCACTGATTTCTGACATCTAAAAAGTCTTACTCATACTTCTTTAACAAGGAGCATGGCACATCGTTCTCATAGCCATGCTGTTCGAGAAAAGCAAGGTTTGTTATCGACTAACTTCTGACTCCAGCTAGTTTATAGTATGGCAGGACTATTCTTCGCACTCTCCTGTTGATTTACTGAAATCTTTTGACTAACTTCCCTTCGAGATTTGATTTGAGGCATAATTGTGATGACTCCACTGAAAGAATATCAGCCAACATGCAAAGTCCTGCACTTAAAAATCTCATATTTTAAGCATCGTATCCAATCCATCCAGTAACCAAACAGTTAAAGAACTTGAAAGCATTTTAACAACTAACACACTGTATACTAAGTATTTGTCTTTATTGTATAATTTAATAGTCAACATGCTGATTTCTTAAAACATGACTGAAAGTTTTGAGTCTAGGAGGTAGATTTACTACATTCAGGTAGGAAAGTACATGTACAAATCATTGGTACATAGGAGGAATCTGCTAATACAAATAAGTGACATTTAAAAGACAGTTTATCTGGTTATTAACGAGATACAGTCCTAAAACAGGGTGCAAACATAATGTATGTGTGATTTAATTTCATCAGTGTTACTTGATCAGCCAGCAATTTGATTCCGTTCTTTTATTTTTTAAGTCGACCACAGCTCCGTTCTCCATCTCTTCTTTTTGGTGTTGGTATTGTTTCATTTTTAACTTCCTTTCTTTTTGGGTTAATTTGCTGATGTTCACTGGCTCGCCCATTAGTCTGCTAGTTTATTTTTCGATTTCGTGACTTCTGTTAGTATACAACCTTGGTGCATTCATATTGTCTCTATATTTCTGTGTATGTGCACTCTTATTTGATGAATCAGAAGACATACAACCTTTATATAATCAGTGTTTTCTAGCGCGTGTGCACACACACACACAGAAAAGACAATGGAGTGCATCATTCTAGAATGTTATCTTATCTCTTTATCTTTCACTACCCTCTATACAAAACGTCTGTAGTGTAATTATTTCATTTAACAATGATCAGAGAATCTTTTGATGTGATCAGAAGTGACCAGTTTGGATCTTAATTTTTTAAAAGTCTCTTGGTACAAATAGCCGTAGGATGATGAAGATGGCACTTTTTCTGGCCGTTGAGCATTGAATCTTCATCAGTGTTAATAACTGAGTACTTTGACTTCAATATTGAAGATATCAAACATAGATGTGAACCGAGATGACTCAAAGTTGATGCTTGCGACGTACATATATGGTCAATCTTTATCTCCTGGCAAATATTAAGCAATCTATTGTTGTCTTAATCAATGTATTCCTTACTTTCTTGTTCCCCGTAAAGATGTGACTTGGCCTCGAAACAATAAGTTCTATCTTTGAATCTTTTATGATCTTATGACTACTGAGTGTGCAATACTCTTTTTTTAAAGGACCTGGTTAACCAGTGTCGTAAGAAATTTCCAGGTGTTCTAATGTGAAGTCGTAGATCGCTGAGACAACCAATTGGTCTGTGGTGATAATAACACATTGTAATTCCTGAATTTGGTCTCTAAGCTATTCGTATACTCTTGAATCTAAGAAGTCATACAACGAAGTTGTAGGGTTATTATTTACTTTCAAGTGTTCATTATCGTTTTCACTTAATGATTGATAGTTGTGATGAAAACCGGGTTTCACACTAGACACGATTGAACAACAGACTTTATCAACTTCTGTCTTCCATTCTAATGACAATTTAAGACTACACTTTATGTTCTAAATCAAACTAGGACCTTTTTAATAGCTGAATATCCGAAGGCTATCGGTGAAATATAGCAGCAACAACTCAAATCCTCTTCCAGTTCGTTCTGTACTTCAGCTTCAGTTATCATTCCTATATATTCACTAATCAATCTGAAATAGTAGCACATATCTGTGGCTCAGGAAGTGCATGTTCAGTTAGGGATGTATTCTTGGTTGAGGTTATCACTGACAGATTCCAATGAATCAGTCCGTTTCTTAAGAATCGATAAACACTATTTAACTGAGTGTGCATCAAAGCTTTCTTTATTCAATAAGTGAATGTTCTTATTTTCGGATATTTCCTGTTCAATACTGTTTACTTCACATTATTTGTGCTTCATCTCATAACTTGAATATTGATTACTTGATAAGTTGTAAAAATTTCAGATAGTCAG